TGCACAGTCTCCTCTTAACTGAACTCCCACATTACCTCCTCAGTTCTACCGGATCTACTCACGACCAGCTCAGGAGTGATTCCTACCCCTGCAGCCCGGCCCATCATCACACCACGGACAATAACTACTGCTACTGCTGGTCGACACCCGGTTGTATTCACACCTTCACATTGTATATATATTATTGCACTATTGTAAATAAATCACCACTTGCACCGAAGCCAGCCGCCTGGGTCTGTTTATTTCTCCGCTCGCTCACATTTGTGTCGAGCGTAACCTAACACAACCAAATTCATAAGATTTCGGTTGGCTACATTTACTGTATATGCATATTTTTAGCTAAATTAACTACATTTTTTAAGGAAGAGAAAGTGGATTTATTCGGTTTAGCTAGCAGGTAACAGAGCATCAGTGTTTCTGATTTGATTTGTGCTATGGACTGACAAAGTTGAGTAAAATCAGAAAATACAGGTGACTACCTCAATGAATAATAGGGCGAATTAAATAATTACAACTACTGTAAGTGTGAAACCAAATGTGAAGCCCTGTACCTTTCATTAAACCTCCAGTTTGTAACATAAACTAACATTGAATTTATTTACTCTTTCATTTATCTTAACACTAGCTAATTTTATTGTGTCTGTAAATTAGTTTCAGCAAGGTAGGTCAGATTACCAGCTACACTGAACATTCCTAGGATCTCTAAGCTTTCCTAAATGTAACAGATGTAGAAAGGATGGATTACATTATTTCTTTGTCTTAGAAACTACAGTTATCAGCTGTAGTTTTTGCATCAAAGCCTTTGTCAGCTAACTAAAACATTATGTTCTCAGTGCACCCACCATACACTTTAAGAAATGCTGAGGCACTTTTCTCCATCTGCCCACTGGATGCAGTGCAGGTGTATTCTCCGGTGCGATCGATAGTGACGTTGTCCACTATGAGAGTGCTGGACAGCTCCAAAGAGTCCCACAGCTTCTTCCTGTGGGACATCCACGGGGGGACCCTCGAACCGTTCACTGAGGTCTGACATAGGAGAGACACATAAGAAATGCAGTTTATCTTTTAAAATAGATTATTTACAACACAAGTGAAGAATAAGACTTAAGAGAGAGAAGCCGAAAACCAAATATTTTCTCCAGGCCACCAGGCTTATTTTCCTTGTATAAGCAGTCAGAACACCACAAAAATATCTTTTGCACTATGACCTGGTGGTACAGAGATTAGCCGAGGGATTCCTGAAAGCAGGAAGTGAGGAATATGTGCAAGAGGAACAGGAAGCAAGATACAGCACTTTTGGTATGTCTGTCTGCCTGATGTTCTCAATGGTGAGTCAAACTGCTGAAGACTGACACATAAATTCTTTAAACATATAGTTTACAAAGCCATTGACCACCACAGAAGAAGAACAGAAAAGGCTCGGGCACTGACCACGGGTTGACCAGACTGTGTCCAGTTGAATGCAATGCCTACGTTGAGCTCGGTGCGGGCAGTGCAGCTGAGCACCAGCCGCTCCCCCACAGACAGCCTCACTTCTGGGGGGGTCACGGTGAGATCATGGATCTTGTATCCTGTGGGAAAGGAAGGGAAGACGCGGCAGTCAGTCGGCAGCCTGTTGTTCTCCGGAGACTCCAGACTCTCTCGCTCTGTGGACCCACCATCACTTGCTCACTCATTTCACCTGTCCCCCTTCTCACATGCTCTGTCCCATCTTTCCATTAAAGTTTAGGCATTCATTCAAATTAATAACACACACACACAGGTTTGACCACGCACAACTAACTGATTTTGCTGTGTGTATGTTTTTCCATCTTACCAACAACAGCCACAATGTAGAGAGGGGACTTAAATGTCTCATTTCCAATGTGAGTCTGACAGGACACGACACCGGCGTAGCTGATGAGATAACTGGGAAGGGTAAAACCTGTCCTGGCGTCCCATACAGAATCCTTGCCATCGGGATAAAGCTCCTTATCTGGATGCTTCTGACAGAAACATACATTTACTAAATTTCAACAAAGGGTTTAACAAGAAAACATAAATAACAGTATATGCTGCACATTAACAAATGTACTTGGCTATGTAAATAAGGTAATATTCCTTTTTAAAATACCACATTACACATATTTGGACTGAGATTGTCATGTTTTATGTTTACTTTGAATTACAATAAAATGTTTTAAAGCCAAATCCTTTGATTGTTGTTACAGTATATCTTTAATTCAAGAGAAGTTTCTCCTGGTTGTAAAACTTTGGAACAAACTTGAAGGGACCAGAAACAATTCTTCCTTACAGTGTGGAGCGTGACGTTGAGATTCTCCACCGACCCTCGGCACGGTATCACCACCCGCTCTCCTTCACGGATGAACACCAGCTCGTATTCTTTTTCAGATGGCACAAACGGCATCTTATAATCTAAAATCAAATCACGTACACAAACAATAGACAGGTTTAAAAAAGGATCACAGTAAGGATGTGGTCAAAATGGGACAAGCTACTCTTGAATTACAGATGGTCACGTCGCCTTTCCTTATACATAATGTACATAACTGGATGACTGAACAAACACATTATGTTAAACGGCATAGTAGTGTATTCATTTGGCGGTGGCTTTAGGGCTCCTCTAGTGGCCACAGCAGCATAAGGTACTGGACCTTCACTGTTTCACGTCATATATTACTGTGACAAAGACATTTGTCATCATACAGTAGGTCATCTCAACAACCTACCCTTTGACAAATTTTTAATACATGACTGTTTCCATTCATCAGTGAGTGTCTCTGTAGCATAACAATTTTTTTTAACTTATTAACTGATTATGATTTTCCTAACTGTCTGGTGCCTATTTACCAAAGCATTTTTGCCAAAATATTAGCCATAAAGTTCTTCACAACAAAACACAGCCCCATCATGTTACTGCTATCACCCCAGCTACACTCCACAAGAAGGCTAAAATGGGTTATACCATGAACAAAGACATAAGCTGCTGCTGAAGTCTTGCCATCTTCAACTTTCAGGTCTCTATAGGAGCACTGATACTGCCCAGTTTCATTGACAGTTGCATTGGAGATCCTCAGTGTTGTGCAGAAAAGTCCTGCTCCCCTGCAGTCACTGGTGGAGAAGTGTGTGCTTGTAGGAGGGGTCGTCCACCTCAAGTCCAGGCGACCTCTGCCAATCAACAGGTAGAGAATTATCTGTATGCCCACTGTGTACATATGGATCAGGGAATGGAGGGAATGCAATACAGTATACTGTATTTATACATACCTGCAGGTAAGTTCCAAGTTATCAGATTTGTTCATCCTATGGATGCCATGGATGTTCAGCGTCGGTGGATCAGGCATAAACCGCAGTTCAGTGGCTGCAGGAATTAACAACACAAGTTAATCAGAGCAAAGACTGACAAGAGACGCAATCAACAGTGATGATATAACACTCTGTACAGTCCTAACAAGTGATGTCTGCATAATGGCGCCAGAGGTCATGTCAGTATTGTTTCCAAAAACACATACACTGTGGTTCCTGGATATAAATTAAATCAGGTAAAAAGCACAAAATAGAAATTTAAATTACAATTCTGTGGGGAAAAATGTCTCCAATATGGGGTGCCTTTTGTAACAAGCTCTCTGGCTAACCAGGGACATATTTCCACTGCTGCAGCAAATGGCGGAGCTGTGTCAAAACAGGAAGCAGAGGAAGATGGGCTGGGTCAGGCTCAATAGCCAAGCACAGTGTGGCCTAGGTGGGGTTCCTGTTTCTGAGGATACAGGCTGCCCACTGCCCCCCTGTGAGGCCCTAAAGCTCCCATTGTGTTGTATGGAAAACACTTAGCACACTAAGTTCACGTTATACATTAGACTTAATTTAACCAAATAACCTCTAAAGTAACATGACAGCCCTTTCTCTGTAGCATCCCAGCAGTATAAAACGGGATTATGACTATCTGAAACTAATTCTTCTTTATAGGCACAGATTTTCCTCCTTTACACCACATACCCCTTGACATTACAATACTGCTTCATATTCTTCACATTGGACTGTTTTGCCCAGAAGTACATTAAATTAATGTGTGCTTTAAATTCTCCTACAATTTGTACTGTTCTTATTGTTTGACTTGTCCTCAATGTATTGTTCTTTTGTTTATATGTAGTTCTTCTCTATAAAGCCCTTTGTGAACCCTGTTTTAGAAAGGTGTTCTACAAATAAACTTTTGTATCATTATTATTACATAGACAAAGAAATAATAATCGACAGAGAAATAAAAACACTGGTGGCATACAGGGCAGGCCTATTGTTGACTACAAACCTCTTTTATAAAACTCCCTCATTCTGTCATTTAGTTGAAGTCAACAGTGAAAGTAGACTTGGTGAGTATTATTTTGTTATCTTACCGGCAACATAACTGATTTCCAGAATAATACCAAGTATGTGCACGACGAAGACTGTGTGAGCCATCGTCCGACAGAAGACATAGACTGAGTCCTCATGAAAATCTAATTAAAAGTGCTTCGCTAATAATCCTGCTTTACAAGCTCAGTAATAATCCATTCAGGTTTGATGCTTTATATCCCACTCCAGAAAATGTTTCCGCAGCCGAAAAGTCATGAAAACCACCAGCAGTGGACGAAGATCAGCGGTGTGTGAAGTGTGTCCCCATGGAGCTGGATGTCGCTCGGAGGAGGGAGAGCGGCTCCACAGCTGCCCAGCCTGCAGAGGAGGAGCGTCTCTGTCGCCCCGAGAGCCGCCTCATGAGGGACAACGTGTCTTCTCAGCTTGTTTCTGACTGTTGGTAGGATAAACACTGAAGTTTCACCAGACTTTTACGGGGAATATCTGTAGAATGGATGTTTTATTTCATACGCAGTAATCTCCATGCTATAGTGATGCTATGTCCGTCTTGACACTTTTTAACATTGTATAGCAAGTTTTTTTTTAGCCAACAGTTGCTATATCACACCCCCAGGAGATAGTCTTACTAAGGAGCAAAATTAGTATTCATTTGGAGTTGTTTGTTTCCATCAGTTCCTAAGGTAAATATATAACACATCTTTAAAATGCTCCACCAGCTGCAGGTGAGAGCAATGGGGTGGAGTCAAAACAATTCATCTGCAGCTGGAAAATCAAAACAAAGGGCTAAAAGACACTAAAAAGTGGAGCTGCCCACTGATAATCACCTGAGCATACTGATAATACTGAAGCTGTCTTAGACTGAAGAATTGGTTTGCTTACAGGTTCCTCAGCATTATCCATCCATTCATTATCTATATCGCTTATCCTGAAGAGGGTCACAGGGGGGCTGGAGCCAAACCCAGCTGACATTGGGTGAAAGGCAACATACAACCTGGACAGGGTGCCAGTCTATCACAGGGCTGACACTTAAAGACAGATAACCACACACACACTCACTCCTAGGGCCAATTTTACAGTCACAAATCAACCTAAGCTGCGTGTCTTTGGACTGTGGGAGGAAGACAGAGTGCCCGGAGAGAATACTGTGGGAGGAAGCCAGAGTACCGGGAGAGAATCCACACAAGCAGAGGGAGAACATGCAAACTCTGCACAGAAAGACCCTGAATCGGCCAGGGCTCAAACCTGCTATGAGGTGACAGTACTAACCCCTGCACCACCATGCCACCCTTTTCAGCGTTTTTTACACTAATTTTGTTTTAACCCTATATTAATTTTTGGTTTGCAAAACATTCAGAAACACACAGGTCAAATGTTTCTCACACACCTCTGTGTAACAGAAGTGACTATATATCACATGTAGTAGGTCCATGGCTTAATTTTAAGATTTAGGAAATCAGTAATCAGCTGCCTTGATTGAAAATGTATATAATGAAACAAGTCAAATGAACTAAATACAACAAGTAAAACAGAAACCTCAATAAGAAGGGAAAGATAAAGTAAATAGCACATTTTTAAAATATTTTAGTTGGATCGATGGATTAAACTACCTCACAAATGTCTGATAAGGTTTGGAAATAAGGGACATGCCAGCCAGTTAGGGAGTGGCCATATACACATGAAATCTAAGCTGTGCTTTGGAAAAATACAAGCAATGCAGCACCTTGCTGGGCAGGTCTGATGATCATGTTTTTCACAAGAATTCACAACATCCCTCATTGTGATGAACGCAGCATTTCACCTGATAAAGATGAGGAGGTTTATGTTTTGTTGCTGGCATGGATTCAGAGGGGCTACATCCATGTTTCCTGGCCCGGTCACTTCTACAGGGACTGTGTGCCTACTAGCCCGCCTGCCCACCTTCTACCCAACACTTCCTGCAGGGCACTCCACACTCAATACACCCATGGAAAGCTGGAAACAAAGAACATTTTCCATTTTTCTGTCTGCATTTGTTTTCCTAACTCAATAACAGTTTGTTTGTTTTTTTGCTGTGAACTCTGCTCCATGCATTAAAAGATAAACTTAGGAGATGATTTTTAAGTATTTTTGTGGAAACACAGATGGAAGAAAGACTGAGAAAGGAGATGTTTGTAAAATAGCTGTAAAAATGTCTTGGCATTGTTTGTGTTTATGATCTGAAGTCACAAGATGAGATTTCAAAAGTCAGTGTCCCACAGTTCACTGGAGAAAGAACTGGCACTGAGCATTTGTGCATTGAGAAGGAGAGAGAGACAAACAGAGAGAAGGACGTAAGGGTGAGTGAGTGTTCACTCTGCACTGTTGTGACTGACAGAAAAGAGGGCACGTTAAAGCATCTTTGAAGGGAAGAACACACAACTAAAGAGAAATGAGACAAAGCATGTATTGCATGTAAATCAAAGAAGAAATATATAAAAGAAATGTTTGATGCATAACCTGTCCAGGGTGTTGCATTTTTCAACATGCACTTTCCAAATGAGTGTGTTATTGATGTGAACTCCTATGCACTTGTGTAATTGACCTGAGCAATTATCCGATTGTGAATAGTAACTGGCATATTGTCCTCACACCAATGTACAAGTTGTTCTTTTTCAAAATAATAAAATGCTGAGCCTCTTTCCTTGTGCAACAAGCCAAGGATCACAGTGTCATCAGAAAACTACAAAAAGCACTGGTTTGTAGCCACAAAATTAAAAAAAACTACATGCAATTAATTAATTGCACAGTTTCCAAAAATTCTGGAAAAACTCTTTAATAACAGATTAGATAGATTTATTGACAAACATAAAATCTTATCTGATTGCCAATACGGTTTTAGGTCGAACCGGTCGACATCCTTGGCCATTACTGACCTGATGGAGGACATTACAAGTGCTATGGATGAGAAGAAATATACGATGGGGATATTTATTGACCTAAAAAAAGCATTTGATACAATTAATCATGAACTATTAATGGATAAGTTAGAGAAATATGGGATCAGAGGAATGGTTTGGAATTGGATCAGAAGTTATTTGACACAGAGGCGTCAATTTGTGAAGTTGGGTGAATACCAATCGAGTGAGCTTGATATTGTATGTGGAGTGCCTCAGGGCTCTGTTTTGGGACCTAAATTATTTATATTATACATTAACGATATATGTAAGGTTTCTGAAATTGTCAAAGTATGTGTAAGCTGATTCAATGCAACTAAGAGCATTTGAGCAGACATAATTGTGGAAAAGTATAAACATCATGTGTAGCAAGCTTTCATTGGTTAATCATAACATTAGGGGGAAACTAATACACAAAAAACAACAAAGATTGTCTTACATCCTACCATAATCATGAACACCACTCAATAATAAGGATTTAAATTACCATTACCGATTACCATTATCCTTAATACTTACCAAACTTAATTATCAAAAATCAATTAACAAGAATCAATTAACAAGCTATGAGTTTGCACCACCTACGTGTACGCAAGAATATATCAATATGTATTTTCCCCAGTGTGAATACGTTGATGACGCTTTAATCATCAATCATCATGAACACCACTCAATAATAAAAATCTAAATTACCATTATCAATTACCATTAATACTTACCAAACTTAATGATCAAAAATCAATTAACAAGAATCAAATAACAGAAAATCAATTAACAAACTATGAGTTCACACCACCTACGTGTATGCAAGAATATATCAGTATGTTATAACCCTTAACCATTTTATGCGGGATCCACGGTCTTCACTCCGGTCCATGGAGCTCTTCAACCTCTCACTCACCGGGTGTTAGGATCGCTCGACACAATAATGAGCGAGCAGAAATGAACAGACCCAGGCGGCTGGCTTCGGTGCAGTAGGTGGATTTATTTACAGTGCTAAAACAGGGGTGCAATAACTTATATACAAAAAATAGAATGAATGGATGAATATCACCGGGCGATGACCAACATTTGTGAAGGGATTATTGTCCATGGAGTGATGTGGTTGGGCTGCAAGGGAAGGAGACACTCCTGGGCTGGTCAAGGTGGAGATC